CAGCTAAGTTTTATCTCCAATGAATTAGATGCAGCCAGTACTGGGCTTGTTTTGAAGACATTTTTAAATGAGTGGTTTAGAGACTTAATCTACACTAAATTCAGGTAAACTTAGTAATTTCACATGTTGTGATGTTATTTCAAAAACTATCTCATTTTTTATACTTCATATTGGTAAGCCAGATAACATGTTTCTTATTTTTTTAAAAAAGCTACTAAGCAGTATGTTTAAGATGTGTCTTTGTTAGTAAAAAAAATTTCATATTTATAAACAATGCATATGCATTTAATGTGCTGTTCCTCTTGGTCTAATCTTTGCATCCTCCTCCTAATCTGGCTAACATGATTTCTTGAAAAGGTAAGAGAAATATGTTTTGCCACCCCCTAAACATAACCGGTGTTTGAAGTGTTCATAACTGCTGGTTATGAGAGCTGGCTGATAACAGGACTAAACGGGGATTTCCTGTCATTGGAGTGACAGGGACAGTCAACACTAGCTCAGGAAGGTTGAGGTGAGATGGAGTTTGAATGTTAGGCATATCCTTTATCAAATATGAACAGGAGTTTAAAAATCTCATTATGAACATGGGGTGTTTGTTTCAATCAAAATAAGCAGGACTAATACAGTGAGTATACTGACACTGAAGTCTCATCACTAAAGTAGATAATCACATAGATCATTAAAAACACCTCCCTCACAGGGTAACCTGGGTTAAATGTGATGTGTTCTTGCTTAAGGTGGCTTGGTACACAGTTAATACTCAATAAATGTCAGCTATGATCAGATGCTTTCAAGAATTATTAGTTTCACCTTATAAAGTTATAAAGTTATTATATTCTCCTAGTCAGCACCTTATAAAAATGTCAAACTCATATAGGGACTCCCTTATTTTGATCCTTTCACCCTCAATTACCATAATAAATTACAATGAAAACTGGAGGCTCAGTAGGGAATGTGGCACCAGTAGGTGTCTGGGCTCATCTGTATGATTTATAATTTTTTGAAAAGTGCAGGATCTCTTAAAACTTCTAAGCGTATTGTTACAGTGTTTTGTTTATTTTTCTTTAATAAGAAATGATTTCTGAAATGTATTGCAGGCGAACAAATAACAGAGATGACAAATGTGGAAGTATTTTACAGTTATCTGAACACAAGAATGAGGTCTGATGAATTTCGGGGAGCTTTTTCCTATACCTAGCTCCTCTTACATGTGCAGAACCATTTGTTCTAATCACAGGCTGTCTTCTGGCTGTGCTTTATCATTCTCTATAAATTCACTAAATGGAGCATTCCTATTTCATCGTTCAGACTCAGTGAATCTTACTGCGGTATTAGTAAAAGGAAAAGAAAACAAATGTTAAGCCCCAGATATTTTTGTTTATATCACTAAGCATCATTTCCAATTCAAAAATATTTTTTAATGTATGCCTTTAGAATATACGCTTTAAACTGTCCAATTACATAAAGCTTGTCATTTGGCTACTCAGATTTGGAGAGGAATGGAACAGGTTGCAGGGGATATGCTAGTACAAAATTAAGATATATCCTTTAAAACCAAAAGAAACACACAATGCCTTTCTAGTTCACATCGCCTATTTGACTTTACAGCCTACTGATAAACACCGATTTAAACATTTGTATATAAAATAATGTATCCTTTATCCTAAAGAAACACACAAATGCCTTTCTAGTTCACATAGCCTATTTGACTTTACAGCTTACTGATAAACACCGATTTAAACATTTGTATATAAAATTAAATAACGTGGAAAAATAAATTATACTTTATTATATAAACACATTGAAATCTGTACTGCTCAAAATATTCAGATAATACCACGCTTGGCTGCTTAAAGCTGTATTCAGAAAATATGGTAGAGATGTTTACAATCTTTATTATTTTGCTAGAGAGAGATTCAGTGAGGTGATAAAATAGCTGATGTCAAACATTTCCTCCTTCTACCTACAGGAGCTGCAAACTTTAATATGAAAATGAGGTAGACAAAATTCATAAGTTGGCCACGCAGAAACAAAAGCACAGTTCCTTCATAAATTCTCATTGTTAGGGTTGACAAGCATTATTCCACATCACCTAATGCAAGGCTCAGAGACTGCTGTTAGGTTTGTCATGGAAAACACGAATGAGCAATTTCTCCTAGGCAAGAACAGTAGGCAAGATGGCCAGCCAGCAGATACACGGAGCATGGCGAAAGAGGGGTGCAATGGGACCAGCTTGCAGGGGTGACATCACTCACCTAGCCACCGTTTTCACTTTAATTATCTGATGAGTCAGCTTACTCCAGAAGGCTGCAGGTTTTTAACCTACTTTGGGCTGCGTTTGACAGTACAGAGCCCTCTTTCCAATGCACCCCTCTAGTCGGGGGCGTGTGCACTCACTACAGTCCGCAGCTGGGCGGCTGCAGGAGCCACCCAAAGGCCTATCAGTGGAAGAACCTGATTTCAGTAACAAAACAGTACCGACTAAGAGTGCAAGGGCACGTGAAAAGGTGGACAGAGAAGGCTGAATTTTTGGAGGATGTTTCTTATAATCATGACTTAGTCCACAGTGACTTGAGGCAGAACTAAGGGTCTAGAACAGGTTTGAAGCCTATGTTTACAGGAGCTGCCTTTTAGAGACTGAAGCCATGCTAACAGTGATTTGGAGTTTCTTTCCTAAATATTGCTCCTTAGTTGAAATTGATTTATGGGCTGTCTCCATGTTGACCTTGGAAAGGCCTACTTGCTCAGGGGCCACTGCTTCCGGACACTACCTCCAGCATGGGAGTGCGTGGGGACAGACGAGAAAGCAAGTGGCCAAAGGACTGTTACCCTTGGTCTCTCAGAAACCTAGTGTGCTTTCCTTTGAGAGCAACTTGTTAGCACCTCAAATGTACTTTTTGTTGTTAATTTCACTGTCAGTTACAAGGGTGGAGCACCATCGGAGTGGCTTTATGGCTAATAACACAATTCACTGAGGTATGCTTAAATTTAGAATTACTATGAAATTGTACCAAAGCATCCATAAAAATCAATAAAAGTAAAACAAAAATCCTACACTAAGAATCTAAAAGACTTACATATATTTAAGTAATGTATTACAAATGTATATATTTAAATAAAATGCTTTTGATTTAAATTTTTAAAAATCACAGTTAAAAGCCCTGCAGGAGTGGCCTTGCTCCTAGACCGTGGAGGTATTTAAATATATATTTGAATAATGATCACTTTACAAAGGAAGCACTAAAATCAGAAGCAGCAAAATGTGTGTAACAGAGGATTAAAATCTCTGTTTTTCTCTCTATGTGTTTCAGAAAACTCTTTGTAGGCCCAAGAAGAACAACTATAGTAAAAATAATGTAAAGTATTCAGTTAAATTAAATAGCAGATCATAATTTTAAAATTTAAGCACTTAATCTCTTAAAATATCTGTGGGGGAGGGTAGTGATCCTGTGTAAAAAAGTTTGAGCTGAATTTAGAAAGGATTCTAAGAAGAGAACGCTATGGGAAATCAATATATGTTATATAGTGTATCACAGGGTAAACCTACGTTTGCCTGACCCTGTATATATACTATACAATATATATTACATTATTGTATTATAGTGGGTATACACACAGACACACACCCTCTGACGTTTAGATGTTTTTTGGTCAAATGAAAGAAACACAACTTATTAGAGGGCTAGCAGATAGTTTGAAACATAACTTGGCTGCGGTGGCGTGGGCTGAGCAAACAGGGTGTAAATATACGGGCCCAAGAGGGAGAATTTCATGAGGAATAATATGTGATGGTGACTTGGGGAAGTTAAGAATGGCAGAGGATGTGCCTGGCATTCTAAGCACATTCCTATGTGCCAGTACCACGGGCAAGATGCTCCAGGTGAAATGTACGTCTGATTCTGGCACTTCTAAGCTCTTCAGCAAAATCCTCACCGCCCAGGGAATAGCGCCCGTGAGATGGCACGCTGAACGCCTGTAGAGTCCTACTTACTACAAGGTGCAGTGGTTGTATCACTGTGTTCAACCTGGGACACGGCAACCTTAACTTAGAAGCGTCAACAGGTAGGAGCCATGTCACGTCAGTTAATCTGCTCTTTAGCTGGTTCCAGGAATAGTTACTACTCCTAGAACCATATGAAAAAATTCTGGGTATGACCTAATATATTGTAATTTCAGCTTCAGTGCAATTAATGTGTTTACAGGAATGTTTCGTACATTTACTTGAAACGGCCCTAATGGCTCCACAAGTCACAGCACAACTTCGCCAGAGGATTGTTTTGACAGAGCTGATCTTCTGTTTGCCACGAGCTGCCCCGGACTTCTGCACAGTGCGGAGCGGCAAGGCAGTCTCACCGTGCCCGCTGAGCGCTCAGCAAAGGAAGCCTAGGTCCAAAGCAAAAAATGGTCTCGAATGGGCTTCGTGTCTTCGTGGAAGAAAGAGAACATTTCAGACACGGTGAAAAGCACCAGGTCACGGAGTCCATGTGGCTCTTTTGCATTTTCCAAATGACTTCAGTCTATTTTATGGGCACCACCTTTGAGGTGACTGTGGTGGGAGGTGTACCTGAGTCACTGCAGAAAACATTGCTTTGGCCTCAATAAACAGGCATTTTCCCCAAAGTCAAAACCACCATAGCTAAGGAAAGGAAGGTCCGCCTGCTAGTGAGCTGTCTGTGTAAATCACTTTGGAGCTGACCAACTACCTTAAGTTACTTAGTTTCTTTTAAAAAATCCAAACGTACCTCATCTAGTTCTTCTAGGGAAGGAAGCTACTCCCTGGCAGGAGGCACATGCATTCTGCAGAGTACCTTTGGCAACCTCACACAAAGCCATTCTGTGGTGTATCGATATGAAGAAAACAACAGCCTGCTTATCGCCAGGGAATGAACGCCCTTGTGAGCATGACAACCGCCTGTCACAGAGGAGGGCCTCAGAACGCCGCGGAATTGGGTGTATAGCTAGACAGTCTGGCTAACGAACATTAAGAGTTAGGGCCGTACCGAACTCCAAGGGCCGGTGCTCCATGCCGCGTCTTGGGGACAAACGTGCTGGTTACACCGCTCCCGGTCTGGAGGCTTGTCCAGAATTTCACAGCTCAGATCTGGAAAGCGCTCCCCGCTGGGCCGCTGACAGACCACCAGCCTGGTTCGCAGGCCTCCGCCACAGAGCTTGGAACACTGCACAGAGGCAAAGGGAGGCGACAGTTAGCTGTCTGAACAGCCAATGGCAAACTTTCTTTTCCCATAAGAAGTTTTTCTCAGCCAAACTCTACCCTGGCACAGGGCAAGCAAGCCTCTGGACAAAAGCACTCTGACTTATCCACAGCCCACCTACAACAGACTGGCGCTCTCTGGCTCAACGGGGGGGTGGGGTGGGGGGGGACCGCTTACCCAGGGCTTCTTCTCCCCCTGCTCGGAAGCTCTCAGAGACATGATCTCACCCAGAGGAGAGAATAATCATTTGCCCTATTTCACATGTGGGGCAACTAAGCTTAAGAGAGGTTAATTAATCTGATAAGGTACATTTCATAGCAAGAGTTTAGACTAAGATTACAGTATAAAACCAAACATCAAATATGCGAAACACCACACAGTTCCACCTAAAGGAAATACTATAATGACTTAGCCAGTTTGACTTCCTGGCAACCTCTCAGAAGCTGCGCCAACCTCTGCCTGTTCTGGGATGCCAATCTTTATGAGAAGCTATTTTACGTTATCTCCCAATCTTAGCACCACTCTGACCCTCCCCGCAGATGAACACCCAGCATGACGGGTTGCTGGATCTGGTTCTGACTCCTGGCTGGATGTGAACTTCCGAGGCAGGGACGAGATGTGTTTCTTGGACGGAACCCCTGTGCTCACTTCCAGGAACACGGACGGGCGGCCTCCCTGCTGTGCCAGGGCCAGATCTCCCGCAGAATCCGGATGATCTGGTCCGTGCTGACAGCAAGCATCCTGCCAATGCCTGCCCTCTCCTGGCTCCAGTCCAATGACAGAAGCTTAATCATGGGCCCCACAGGACACAGCTTTTGAGGAGTTTTGGGAAAACCATGATACACGACTCTCAAAGCCTGACTCCCCCTTCCTGCCTTTCAGCCAAGCCCTCCAGAATGACGCACTGTCAACGAAAGTCAACAGAAACCTCCATTTGACTGCCCAGGACTACTGGGCTGCGAGCGTGAAACCATGACATGTGGACACGATTCCCATTAGCCGGGGCACTAATGGGCCCAACCACTTCATTTGCCTCCCCCCCCCCCCTTTGGCACTGGGGTCTCCAAGATGTTAATCCTCATGTTTTATTTTATAAACTAGAGGCCCAATGCATGAAATTCGTGCAAGAGTAGCCTTCCTTCCCCCGGCTGCCAGCACCGGCTTCCCTCCAGCACCCAGGACCCGGGCTTCCCTCACAGCCTTGGCTTCATCCAAAAGGTTGTCCTAATTAGCATATTACACTTTTATTATTATAAATTGTACAGTCAAGACAGAAACACTCAAGAAGCTTTAAATATGTGATTTCCCTGTAAATGCAAAAGTAGAGAGATATCTTCTTGGTTAGTTAAACACAAAACAATAAGTATATAAGCCCTACATGCAATAGTGGTCGAAAGCCCATTTAATAATGATAGTAATGCTAATCATCATAATAATTATTACTACTAATAATAACTTGTATCATAGCAGTTGACTTTGATTGAAGGCTATGTGCTAGGCATTTGACATGCACTCTCTCAAATAACAGTCATGATTATTATGAAGTTGATGCCATTATCATTCCCATGTTTAGAAGAGGATACAGATGTTTGGCGTTACAAGGCTGGGACTGGTACCCAGTTTTCTCTGGTCCAAATACTCTATCGTCTTTCATCAGTCATAGCAGGCAACTCTTTAGAAAGGTCTAAAAGGTAACAGCTGAAGAATTTCATTATTTGAGAATACAGCTAATTATTCACTGCCATGTTTAAAATGAGTCACCTTTCATAGGAAGAACAGAACCTATTAATTCTGGTTTTATCTGGGGTTTGAAATAATGACAGATTACACCATGAGAATAAGAGTGTATCAAAAGACCCCAAAACTATGAAGAAGATGGCAACATTTCCATTGACGAATTTTACACATATTTTCAATCACTTTAAAAGATTCCTCCATTTTTTAACCAGCAGAGGTTAACAATTTAAATTAGCATTTATCTGCATTTTTTCCTCATTTTTCTAACCTGCTTAATCAAGCTGTCTATAATTGATCAAAAACGCACTTTTAAAGTAGTCTAGCATTAAGACAGGTCTCCTAGTTAATTCCAAAATAAAGAAGCTTTAACTGGAGCTAGTTCTTCTTCCTTCAAATAAACTATGAACAATAACACAACTTGGTCAGCAAAATTACTGTTTTTTCCAAAGCATGTACAAAGGACTTTACTCTCACCTCTCCCCAGCTGCCATAAGCCCACTGCGGACATGGGCCGGACTCGCAGGCTCTTTGCTCATCGGGTTTGATTCTTTCCACACAGTCACTTGCGGGGTATCCGTTCTCATCCTGACATACAACGACACGCCGCTGGGACCCGCCAGCACAGGTACTAGAACACTGAACACATCAGACATCAGTCAACAGATCAATCCTCATCTTGATTTCCATTTGAGGATCATAAAAAACAGCTGATGGGAAGGTCAGAGGCAAGTGGGGCGGAAACTGTTCACAATGGACAGAAAGCAATTGTGAGAACTTCCCTTCTGTGAAGTTGTTTAATGTGCAAGTCTTCAAATAAATACCCCGAGGGCAGAAACGTGCTTCTCCTTTGCATGCGTTAGGCCTTGAGCAGGTGTCCGATAAATGTCCAATGGACATTTATAAACCTTTATTTATACATGTCAGTGTTCAGTACGTGTCTATGAGTGGTAATGTGCTGTGGTTTCCAAAGCAGCCGTATTTATGATCCTCCTTTATCTTCTCCTGGCCTCTGACAGGTACACAGGTGTGGACTGACCGCCCAGTCTACTGAGAAAGTCTTTTCTTTCCAAAACTCCAAGTGCTCATTTAGAACCAACTTGGGGCTTCCCTTACAGCACGGGAGTCAAATGACATGCTTAACGAATAGCCAGTTGTGGAAACAAAGCTTTCATGTTAACTCATTCACTTACATGGAGCACCACTTAGACATCAGTTTCTCACAAGTCATGTTCCCATCTCTCCCTTCATGATAGGGTCTGCTTTCGTGGCGGATGGTAGCAAGGTTTGTTTCCATCCTTATTTCTATTTCCCAATGAACTCCCTTGAATTCCATAGGGATCAACTTCTCTCCGGATGGAGGCTCAGTCTAGCACTCCCTCTCATGGTTGTTCCTAGAATTATGTTTGCATTGCAGCTAGGTTCCCACGCGGGCTTCTCATAGCTCTCTTATTTATCTACAACTTCAGTGTGTTTTTCTTCTCATAACTTCGTTATCTTTTGAAACCCAATGTGTTTGCTAGTATCCTTCACTCTGACCCCTAACAGTTTGCCTATGTGATAACCATCTAGTCCTCAGAGCAAAGCAATTCCCACGAGTTATCATCTCCAATGCATTTGCAACAATGTTTTGAGTTCCGGGTTCTGGTGGCTGACTTGTGCTTTCTATCAAACCTCAGCCCACACCTGCGTTATTTCAAAATACCTGCCAATACTGCTTCTTGCTGGTCAGCTTTTTCTTATAATAATGTGAATGTACTTTGCTTATTACATTGGACCTCAGTTCAATTTCCTTACCGATGCTTGTTAAAATATGAGTGGCTTAAAAATATATTGGGTTTAATTTTAAAACATGTATAAAGGAAGAAAATAGATTTATGAATTCTGTCTGAGAAAATATTTAGGTAATTTTCGATTACCTAAATTTTTGAATGTTTTAAAATATTCTACCTCTATTTTCAGATGGTCTGGTACACTTACTCTAAACTTGAAAATATTTGTTTTCTACTTTTTAAACAGCTTAATCCATAATAAAAAACACAGAGAACTATTATTTTAATTAGCTTTGTTTGGGGATGAGAATTTAAAATGTTTGGGAGGCTCTTCCATATATAAATAGTTTTGGAATATATCTTCTGGCCCTTGAATTTTTCCCTTCATAATAAAATCTTGTATTATTCCTTTATTAAGCCTCCTGTGAGTGTTATGGCCCAACAAAATGGTCAACTCCTCGAGGGAGGGCTCAATGGCATCACGCATGACCCTGTCACTCCCACGACACTGGTCTCAGGTTTTATTGCTGGTTCCATTCACGTTTCTGGAATCGGTACCTCTATAAGCCACAGGCTACCCCCTTCAATACAGCCCAGGGGAGCAAGGACGGGTCCCTGATCCAAGGCGAGCTCATCTACAGCTGCCCATTGGCCAATCAGATGCTTCCTCCTGAGGCTCTGACGGAAAGGTGGGGAGAGTGCTCCTCGGGGGGCAAGCAATTGAACGGCCCGGCCCTGAAATCGCACCGCACATTTCCAAACCCAGGGCGGCTTGGGTCTGTCTCCTCCCGCACACACGTGGAGTGTTGCCCGGGAACAGTGCCCAGGTTGCAGAATTTCTTGTGGCCCTTCTTTTGTTAACAAGTTTCCTATTCTCTTTAGATGACATATTTTTCTAGGTAGACGTTGAACAAAGCCCTGCTCCTATTATCCCCGCTGCACAAAACAAGGAAAAATGGCCTTTAGAAAACCAAGAGGTAGGAACATCTTACCTGGGCCATGTATTTCCCCTACATCTGGCAGCACAACTCTCTTGTAAGGCCTGCCTGTTAAGATACTCTGCTCATCCCTGGTCAAGCTGGACCAATCAGACTCACCTGGGAATTTGAATACTGAGTAGAGTAACTCAAGGGTGGTTCAGAGGTGAAAGGGATTCATTAAGACAGAATCCCCTTAAAGAAGTTATTCTTTAGTTACTGATTCATCTAGATCAGGATTTGGCAAACCCAAGCCCGAGGGCCAAATCTGGCCTGCCACCTGTTTTTATAAATAAAGTTTTATTGAAACACAGCCATGCCTGCCCATGTATTGTCTGTGCCTGCTTTTGCGCTGCTACAGCAGCAGAGCTGGTTAGTTGTGTCAGAGACTGTACGGTCCACAGAGATAAAAATGTCACTAGCTGGCCCTTTGCAGAAGAAAACTGCCAAACCCCGAGCTAGATCCCCGAAGGTGCTCGGGTCCCTGCTTGTGCTGGGGCTAAGTGAATGCTTTTACTTGAGTCAGTTTTCGTTTATTTTGCTTGCAACCAGAGACCCCTAACTGAGAGCACACAGAAAACCTCACACAGGGTTTGTGAAATCTAGTGTAAAACAAGGTCCTTACTCTAGGATCCAGTATAAACTTGACATTCCCATTCTCTCGTGTTCATGATTCTTTGCTGCCTTTTCTGCCACGAAGGCAGGAAGACCCCCGCACACTCCTGAGAGTAGGTCAGGCAGCGCAGGCTGGCCTGAAAAATCATGGTCCTTAACTTAGAAAAAAATCCCCGAACAAAAAACAGGCACACTGGGGGGAAGAATGGTGCTGCCCACTGTTGCAAAAAGGTTACCTAATCCTCCCTAATTGGGAACTCTGCCCAGGGCAGAAGCATTCAGTCTGAAAGGAATGCACTTTCCTAAATGCAGTCCCAAATAAGAACAGCTTTCAAATGTTTTTTAAAAACTTCCTAGTGCTATCCTTAGAACACACATGCATGCGTTCCGTACTCTTCAATCAGAAAAATTGTGGGACACCCTGTGGTTACCGCCCTTAGTCACCCTTTGATTCCCTTCTGAGCCAGGCGAAGGGAGACAAGCAGGAAGCAAGCCAGGAGCAGGAGATGGCAAAGGTCCAGCCACTTGGCCGAGAGACAACCCACACTCGAAAATGTGCCGCGGCTGATCAGAAATCCCGGAGCGTCAGTGTGACTCCCTGAACAACCACGTGAGATAACAGACAGCCTCCTTCTAATCCTTTTTAGTCCACACATAATTATACACAATTAGCAGGACTAGAAGGAAACGTAGCAAATCATTAAAAAGAAGACCCCGAGTGACGGGTAAGCCCTGGCTCTGCAGGCCGTGCTTCCTGGCTCCCTGCGGTTTCATGAGACATGGCCAGTAACCACAATGTAATCTTTTTTTTTTTTTTTGGAAAATCATTTAGTAAAAAATAAAACATTCCAAAGCATATCTTTTCTTCGAATACTGGATATTTTTCAAGGTCTCCTCAATTTGAAGGACAATGGTAATAATAAAGATGATTGCTGACATCTATTGAGGTCTCCCTCTGTGGCATGCAGAGTGCCAAGCACTTTATTGGCATGGTTGCATTTGATTCTTACAGCCCAGCAAAGCCAGAATGATGGTTCACTTTGTTTTACAGATGAGGAAACAGGCTCGAAGAGTATGCTACTTCCCCTTTCAGCTCAGATTTCACCCGGCCTCGTGTGTCACCCACCCCTCACTCAGGACAATGATCTACTGCCACACGCTCTGACACCTCACGGGTCTGGGAAATAGCGAAAAGGAAAATGAGGCTCATGAAGCACTCCCTTTCAGAAAAGCGCCTCTGCCCCTTTAACGCCCTCAGGCTCTGGCATCATGGCCTTCACAGTGCCTTCTTGAGGCCACTGCACTCAGCAGGGACATTCCCTTCTCCCCCCAGTCAAGGGAGCTTGTGACACCTTCTCAGGGACTGCAATGAACCCACTGTGGTCACCCCCAAAACAAGCGAAAATGCATGTCAGCCCTTGTGAGAAAAAATGCTCCAAAGGTGTTTCTAGTCCATGCCCCACTGCACCCCCAACACTGCCTCCAGTGGGAGAAGAAGGCAAATTAGGAAAAGCCTCAGTCATACTCACTGCTCCCCAGGGGCCGGTCCTCCACTGGTTCCCCCCGAGCACGTGGGTCTGGCTGGGGCCGAGGCTCCTGGGGTGATAGCCCGCGTTCTGGAAAGGGTGCTGAGCAAGGCCCCTGTCTGGGGCCAGGCGCGGGCATGGTGGCAGCGAGCAGTCCTGCGCGGTTTCTGGGATATAATCTGAGTCACACTGGCTCTGATCAATCACGTGGTCACTGTAGTCCACACACATCACTTGCCGGGTCATCCTACCGTGCCCACACGTCACGGAACACTAGAGGGAATGTTCAGGAAGAGAAGGGGTCAGTCACTCGGCAGTCAGGAATTCATGAATGTGCATGTTTTGTAAATGGCCCCCTCCTCACCCAGTTGACCAGGTCAAAACCTTGGTGTTATCCTTGTCTCCTCCCTTTTCTTCCCATCCCATAGCCATTTCACTGAGAAATGATTTAGCTCAGAGGTCAAAACATAACCCAAGCCCAGCCACTTCTCACCACCTCCTCCCTCACCTCTCTCGTCCAAGCCATCATCTTCCCTTGCTGGGACTATTGCAGTAGCTTTCCATGTGGGCTCCTGCTTATAACCTTGACCCTGACCCCAGGTCTGCTATCTCTATATCACAAACAGTGACCCTTGCAAACAAAAGCCTGCCATGTCATGCCCTCCAGTGACTCTCCAATTCCTCATCCTGGCAGCTGACACACCTCATCCGGGTCCCTTTCCCACAAGTGGCTGAGTACTGGGCGTTGGAGCAAAAGAGTGTCGAAATGTTATTAGAATCAGCCGCTAGCTGGACAGCAATCCACTTTCTACGGTCATGTCAGAGAACGTCTTCTTCCCAGTTGGACATTAGTCAAGGTCCAAAGTCCTTACTTGAATTATGGACCCTTAGTGATACGGCCACCAGCTATCGCTTTGACGCACCTCCTATCACTCCCCACTCCCTGTGTTCCAGCCAAATGGCCTTTTGGATGCTTGTTAACCCGCCAAGGACACGCACATCTCAGGCCGGTGCACCTGCTGTTACACATGGGTACCCACGTGGCTTACTCCCTCATTCCCTCAGTCCTGCTCAATCAACGTCAGTCCTTTCCCGGCTACCTTGTCTGAGAGCACGTCCCAGCTTTCTCTAGGCCATTCCTCTGCTAAAGTAATCCTGCACTTACCAGTACCACTCCCTGTTCTATATCATATACCTATTTCTCATTTTCTCAGTGATTGGAATCTCCATTGGAATAATCTACATGAAGGCAGGGACTTTATTATTGGTTGTTCGCTGCTCTTTGTACAGTGAGCTTTAACAAATAACTGCTGGTAAACAGTTGTACCCGAAGTATATATGTATGTTTGGAGGCTCAAAGCATGAGGATGAGATTATCTATCATTTATTGAGCACCTACTTTGTGCTAAATATTTGAACATATATAATCTCAAATAATTCCCTCCACAACCTTGAAGGTAGGTATTTTATTTTATTTTTTGGTCTTCTTTGAAAAGCAGAAGAAACTAAGGCTCCCGGTTTTTAACCAGACAGCTCAAGGTCATGCAGCCAATAAATGACAAGGTCTGGATGCTTACACAGCTCTGTCTGAATCTACCTCTCAAATTTTATATACATTATGATATCTTTGACATATTAGCCTTCGTTTTCCTCCTGATGTCTCCTTGCCTATCCTCAGTTTGTATTTCCTGGACCCTGGTTTTGACAAGGCAGAAAGCAGAAGCTGCCTGAAGACAAAGATTTTTTTACTTTTGGAAAATCCCCTAGATGGTGCCTGGCGTGCACAGAGGCCAGGTCGCAGCCCCGGAGGAGGGTTCTCACTGCCTACTCTTGGCAGAGAAGCCCAGAGCCACTGGCCTCCAAGGGACCGCAGGATGCAGGAGGCACCCAGACTTCGCCACTTTGGGTCCCATACACACCTAGGACATTCTGATGTGACTGGTTTCCATTCAGCCCCACAGGAGAGGGGCTTGTGCCCATTGTAAATGGCACATGTTTTTTTTAAATGTGCATTTCTTGTACACCTGGCTAAGATTTACACCAGCTGCACATATATGAAGCACAACAAGTGAAATCACAATCTAAGTCCGATTCTAAAATATTACCCATGGACATCTGAGACCTCCTATTAGTCCCCCCGCTTACTGCTCCCCAATCCTCCCCCAGTCCCCAAATTCTCTCGCTTACAGGGCTCCAGTCCAAAGCCTTCCACTGGCCACAGGGGGTCCCCACACATTCCTCCTCTGCCAGTGGTCGCGGCAGGGCCACGCAGGCGCTCTCCTCAGCCACGGAGCCATCCTCTTCCCGGCAGCTGACATACCTCATCCGGGTCCCTTTCCCACAGGTGGCTGAGCACTGGGTTTTGGAGCAAAATCATGCAGAGATGTTACTGGAGGGGGTCACTACCTGGACAGTGATCCACTTTCCATGGTCATGTCAGAGAGCACCTTCCCCCCGCCACCCCCAGCTTCTCCCATCCGATTTCTTACTGGAGTCCAAGACCCAAATCTCCACTGGGTTCTTGGGGCGCCGTGCGTGTTCCTCCTTGCTTCGGGGGCAGCCGGCGGAGGGTGACAAGGTGGCAATTCGCAGTCCTAGATATGAGAAGGGGGACACCAGTTACCTTTACGTCAGTGCACTCTTTCATGGTCATGGCAAAGAAAAATAGAAAACTGAAAATTCTAACACTTCAGATTTGTGTGTGATTTTGAGAGATATCAAGTAACATGCTATCTCAGCCCCAATTTCTTTTTTTTTAACTTTTAAAAAATCATTGATTTATAGAAAGAGTGAAAAGGGGGGGAGAGAGAGAGAAAAAGAGAGAGAGAGAAATATCAATGTAACAGGGAATCATCGATTGGCTGCCTCCCATATGCATCCTGACTGGGGATTGAACCGTGACCTTTTGGTGTACTGGATGGCACTCCAATCAACTGAGCTGCACTGGCCAAGGCCAGCCCCAATTTCATTAAGTGTAAATGGAATATAATTTGAGTCAATTTGTGAGTGCCTTTTAGGGGTCTTTTTAATTATTTTAATACCATATTTACTAACCTGTTCAAATAGAAAGAGGAAAAAATATTGTAAAATGGCAGATAAATTGGGAAAGAGCAGAATATCCTTTTAAAATGATCAATTGTTAATTTTTCAAAATTCTGAAGGCCAAACTTTGTTCCCAAACTTCAATTAGTTTCCTCATCAGAATTCGCTGATCATGAACTTGCTTTCCGAGTTTACTTAAAGATAACTCCTGAGGTCTTGAAGGTCAAATCTAGTTAGAAGAGGTATATTCCATATTCCGATGACTAGGTTTATATGACACCCCTCAATCACTCCAGAGAATAATCCCTATGATGAATGAGGCCATCGGTGTGTAGATAATATTCCCAGAATTACTAATGAGAAAACAGAAGTATACACCTGCTCACAATCACTCCCAGCCTCAGCGGTTAGCAAATATTCTTTGGTTCAATACTCGTCCGTAAAACGCCTGCGATGTTATGCACGGTGTGAAGTGCTGGGAGAAGGAGGCATCCTTGACTCCAGGGAGCTTACGGATCTGAACGGGACATTCTGACCTCACCTATTCCTCTGTCCATGGTCCAGAGAAGCCACAGCGATATTTTCATACTGAGAAGAAATCAATCATGTGCTGCAACTGTGGGGCTGCCCTCTAGTCCCATGGATATTATGGAACAGTTGAGAGAGAAATGTATGTTTTGAATCTCTAAGGGAGCTGCTAAGTCCTTACTTCATGGCTGCTCAGATGTAATAGCTAGCACTTCACAGGCCTATATAATATGGTGGTTTGAAATATTTCAGTAAAGTAATAAAAATAAAGACGACACAACTCATAAGTTGTGTTTGGTTAATCGATCAGCAGTGACAGCCCAGACGGCACTGACATATTCCTTTATTTTTCTGACACGCCTCATCCATAGACAACCATGGCGACATGCATAGACTAAGGGTGTCAGCACAGAGCCCGTGTCCTGCCGGATGGAGCCTGGGAGCACGAGTTCTGGGCATAGTCTGTGTTCAGGTCTGGTCTTCGGCAATTAGCAAAGCTGATGTGCAAACCCAAGTCTCCTCTTCACAAAAAAGGATGCCCAAATCAAGGCCCACACAGAGTGGTGTGCTGGTGAGTGATCGCCAACGAGCTCTCAAGGAAAAAGGTGTGCATGTTTTTGTGTAGAGAGATATATGTTTACACATGCACATATATGCTTCTTATAAATTTTACTGATATACAGGATACACAGCATACAATTTACAAATAACAATAAAGTATAGAATTCTTCATTTAAAATTCCATACAGTCAATTGATTCTTACAGAATAGTTTTGATGATTTTTGCTGAACTCTGCAATCTGTTGACAAACTATGGTTGTAATTGCCAGACAAGTGTAGTTCTGACATAAATGTTAGTTGATGTTTTGTTTACTTTTAAGCATAAGGTGAAAGTGAAACAATAAAGATGTACGTACAAACTTGGCTCATTCACCAATGACATGAACGATTTCTTTGTGAAACCAGATAGTGATTTTCAAATACCGGAAAAATATTTCTTTAATTTTTGTGCTATTCATAATGTAACAGCTACAGACACTAGACTCTTTTAAGTTTTATTTGCATGACTGCTATTTTCTCCATTACCTTCTTACATCTAAATAATCAACAAAACAGTGAATAAAACCCTGGAATATGTAGTATTTGCTGACTTCTATGCTGTAAATACTCTCACAAAGGCTAGTCCAAGCCACCAACTTGATGTCAAGTTGGGCAGAGATATACAGTAGCCGTTGTTATACAGTATTTCCAGCACACAGACACACGCAGAACCTCAAGAGCACAGTCGATAGTGAGATGCAGGAACAAGCCAGCACCAGGACCTGCTGCCTGAACATACAACACTATTTGCTGAACCTTACATTGAAACAACAAAGAAAATAGCATCACACAATCAACATTTGCCATCCAATAAGAATCAGAATCAAACCTACATACATTTCAAATGACCAGAGAAGAACAAAACTGGTACATCCAAATACTAGATTAAAAATGTAACAAATAAGTAAATCCTGAACAATTTAATCAACGGTTTTCTCTACCTACATATTTACCTATGAAAAGACTTGCCTATGAAAAGAACCTCTAGGAAATTTTGGCATCTCAGTGCCCAAAGCCAATAAGGGAGTTGAATGAAGGAGACTCACCTGGACCTCAGCTGGTCTAGCTGCTGCGTTGCAGACATTGACATCCACCACTGACACGCCATAGGTCCCAACGATGCATTGCACCACTCTGTGCTGGTATCCCCGTCCACAAGTGACACTGCACTGGGGGAAAGAAACAAAACACAAGTATATACAATTCAGCAACATTTCTTTCGCTTACTTTCCACATAACTTTCTACAAGAGAAAAAGTAGTTCCATCACTGTGGGTCAGAGGGTAGGCACCCAAAGAAATTAGGTAAAGGTAGGCGATCCTGCTTTGTACAAATTATTACAACACTTGAAATTATTTCTATCTCCATTGAAATTTTATCTGTAGGAGTTCAGTTCCTTAACTGTGAACCATGGAAGAAGAAGAGTACATTTCAATAATTTTTACACCTTTCACACTATAGTTACCAGAACCATGAAAAATAGTATGGTAGGTCCTCAAAGAATTGCCATATAACCCAGCAATTCCTCTTTTAGGTATATATCCAAAATAATTGAAAGCAGAGTCTCAAAGAGAGATTAATATACTCACATGTTTATAGCAGCATTAGTCACAATAGCCAAAAAATGAAAGCAACCCAAGTGTCCTTCAACAGATGAATGCATAAACGAAGTGTGATACATACATACAATGTATTACTATTCAACCTTAAAACTTTTAGGAAGAAAATTATGATACTATGCCAATGAAATAATCCAGTCCCAATAGGACAAATAATAATGATTCTACTTCCAGAGGCATCCAGAATAGTCAAATGCATAGAGAAAGTAGACTAGTGGTTGCCAGGGGCTGGATAGAGGGCAAATGGGCAGTTAATTAATGGGTAGAGTTTTTTTTTTAATTTAATTCTCACCCAAGGATATTTTTTTTTATTGATTTGAGAGAGGGATAGAGAGAAACATTGATGTGAGAAAGAAATATTGTTTGGTTGTCACCTGTATGTATGCTCCCCAACTGGGGATTGAGCCCTACAACCTTTTGGTGTACAGGCTGATCCTCCAACCAACCGAGCCACGTGGCCAGGGCAATGGGTAGAGTTTTTGTTTTGCAAGAGGAAAAGTTCTGGATATTGGTTGCACAGCGATGTAAATATACTCAAGACTATTGAACTATACACTTACAAATGGTTAGGATGGTATTTTACCACAATTACAAAATTTTAAATAATGGGATAAGGACTTGAATAGACATTTTTCCAAAGAATATATACAAATGGCCAACAAGCTCATGAAAAGATGGCCAACAAGTCCTTAGGGAAATACAAGTCAACACCTTAGGTGTCATAATTAAAAAGTGGGAAAATAAGAAGTGTTGGCAAGGATGTAGATAAACTGGAACCTTTGTGTATTACTGGTAGAAATGTAAAAGGGTGCAGGTTCTGTGGAAAACTGGTAGTTAAAACGTTAAACACAGAATGACCACATAACTCATCAACACCACTCTTAGGTATATACCCCAAAGAATTGAAATCAGGTACTAAAAAGAACATTCATTCATAGCAGCACTATTCACAATATCCAAGAGGTGTGAATAACCCAAATATCCAATGAGGGATGATTGAATAAACAAGCGTGGTATATCCACACGATGGAATATTACACAGCCATAAAAAGGAAAAGAGTAAAGAGTGTGCTACAATGTGGGTCACCCCTAAAAACATTATGTTACGTAAAAGAGCCAGACACAAAAGGTCCAATATTGCATGATCCCATTTATATGAAATACTTAGAATAAATAAATACATGGAGGCAGAAAGCAGACTGTGGGCTCCAGGGGCTCCAGGGAGGAGTAAACGGGAGTAACTGCTCAGTGAGTGTTCTGGGGGCCATGGGAATGTTCTGGAAGTAGACACAGGTGGTGGTTGCACACTATGAATGCACTAAATGACACTGACTTGTTCACTTTGAAGTGGTTAATTTTGTATATGAATTTTACTTCAATTAAAAAAGCCCAAGTCTAATCTTAATATTATAAAAATACTTCTTATAAAAATATTATAAGAAAATCAAATACATATTAATAATCTCTGCAGTGTAGAGTTAGAAGTATGTTTGGTTTTCTTCTTTTTGATAAATAACATTTAGCAAAATTTTTCTTATGAACAGGCATGACTCTTACACAATATTTTAAAAAACAATATTCTGTGGCCCTGAATTGCATGTTCAGGCAAAGGAAGATCAAATCTCTAGCTAGGATTGGTCTGGTGTGGACAGGAGTAAAAACAGATCCAGCAGTTCTAACAGATGTTATCTTCCAATCTTACCAGCGACCCTGAGCTGTGCATCTTTCCTCTGAGGACTCCCTAAGAGTTATGTGGATGGAGACAAAGAGGAGGCGAGATTAGAGGTGGGCGTGGACTCTCCCTGTGTATGCAGAGTGATCAGCCATGTTTTGACTGGGGACGCTGGGCGATGGGGAACATTTGGAAGAGTGTCGATGCTAATGACAGAAACCGCAGGCATGGAAATGAAGATGTCAGCTGGAGGGATGAAGTGGCTGAAGCTGGGGCTGGACCGAGCGGAAGGTGAGTCATTCTTTAAGATATTACGTAAGTGACAGCAGACAGCTGTTTTGCTTCCCCTGGGAACCCAGAGAGCTACTGAAATAGGACCAGAATGCTTTTTGCTTCCATATTGGGAAGGACTTAATCTCAAGAGCAGTGGCTTCTCCACTGCAAGCGCCAGGGAGACTTCCACTGTCTCCTTTAAGAGCAGGTCTAGTCAAGAGTTAAAACCCACTCGGAAGAGATTCTTGCAAAGCGAGATGATTCTGCAGCCTTTGACCTGATGAATCTGTTTGAACAGTCTGACTTAGGAGAGGTGAGCTTTGGAAACACGACAAGGGGAGCCACAACGTCCCATCCAAATCCCACTCCAGACCCTCCTGCCTAAGATGCTGGGGCTGGGCCCTTTTTCTGTGACAGACACACAGGACACACGAGAGGATAACATCAGCCAGACTCCAGATCTGTTGTGACAAGTTCCAATGCTCATGTCTCAATCTGGTTTTAATCCCAGACAGTAGACAGGCACGTGGGTCTGTCCAGGGGACAGTCGGCTGCAGGAGGGCCAGGGGAACTCTGGGAAGTGGGGTAAAATGGGTGCAGAGTTTCTCCTGCTGGGCCCAGAGCACAAAGGCCCAGGGCAGTCAGACCCAGCGGCGAGGTCTGCCGTCGGCATGCCCGCTGTAAGCGCTCTCCAGGTGAAAGGAAAGAATGCAGTTAAGAACTTTATCTTTGAAATACCTGTCCCCAGGGACCCGCCTGCCAGGACGCACATTCTGGCTGCTGACAGGTCTGCACGGAGGCTGGCTTGGTCTGAGGGTCACAGATTCTGTCGTCTAATTGATCTTCACCGAACTGACACCAGACCTGCCGGTGCTTGTGCCCTTCCCCGCAGGTGACCAAGCACTGCAAGGAAAGCACAGCCAGTCAGGCCCACTTCTCAGCACCTGTGGGGTCCCGGGCCACTCCTGACCAGCAGGAACAGGGGCGCTCTTTCCCACAGCAATTCCTCTCTCTCAGCACCCTGAGAGATAGGGAGGCTCATTCACTCATTCATTCATTCATTCATTCACTCTGTATTTATACAGATTCCAGAAGAAACTTGACACAGCATCATGCTCTGAATCAGGGGTCCTCAAACTTTTTAAGCAGGGGGCCAGTTCACTGTCCCTCAGACCGTTGGAGGGCCAGACTATAGTTAAAAAAAAACTATGAACAAATTCCTATGCACACTGCACATATCTTATTTTGAAGTAAAAAAAACAAAACGGGAACAAATACAATATTTGTATTTGCATGTGGCCCGCGGGCCGTAGTTTGAGGACCCCTGCTCTGAAGTATTGAAGAGCAGCATTCACAGTTTTCTAGCGAGGGAGTTAAGTATGGGGAATTGAGTCAGACCAATCTGGGTTTTAATTCAGAGGTCAAGTGACCTCTGTACCTCAGTTTCTCATCTGTACCAGGGGGACAATAGTGCCTACTGCCAAGACTTGTGAAAACTAAGTGAAAACAAACCCAACTAAAGTGCTTACCCCATGTTTATCTAGTAAATCTATACTAATAATAGAGGAACATGCAAATTGTCTGGTACACAGTCACAGTAACAACCAAACAGGAGGCTGCATGGGGCGATAAGGCTGGCAGGGGGGTTAGTGAGGGACGACCAAATGACTGAACAGCAGGCTTTGTGGGGCGACCAGGCCGGCAGGGCGGGCAGTTGGGGGTGACCAGGCTGGTGGGGTGGCAGTTGGGG